CAGTGGAGGGTGCAGCGTGGCCCAGTTCCAGCCAGGCGGTGGGGCTCTAGTGCCATCAGCGCTCTGGGCAGTGCGGTAAGGGGGCAGGGAGCAGGGGGGGTTGGATAGAGGGCAGGGGAGGTCAGGGGTGGTCAGGGGTTGTGGGTGTGGATAGGGGTCCGGGAGGTCGGGGGGGAATAGGGGGTTGAATGGGGGCAGGGGTCCCAGGGGCAGTCAGGAAGGGGGGGGTTGGATGGGGTGGCAGGGAGCAGTCAGGAGACAAGGAGAAGGGGTGGTTGGATGAGGCAGGGATCCAGGGGGGTGGCAGAAAAGAGGTGGGGTTCAGGCCATGACCCCTTCCCCTAACTGGCCCTCCATACAATCAGGAGCGGCGCCAGGGTTTTTGCCACCCTAGGTGGTAGCACTCCTCCTCTAAGCATTTGGCGGTGGGGGTCCTTCTGCTCCGCGTCTTCGGGGCACTTTGGCAGCGGTCCCAGAGCGAGTGAAGGACCCACAGTTGAATTTCCGCAGGACACCCAGAGTGGAAGGATCCCCGCCGCCGAATTTCCACTGAGAATGGCAAAATGCCGCCCCTCAAATCCTGCTACCCTAGGCAACCGCCTAGGGTCACCTAGTGGAAGCGCCGGCCCTGCATACAATTTACTAAATTTGATGCGGCCCTCAGGCCAAAAACTTTGCCCATCCCTCCCTTAAAGTAACACAGCCTCAAGCCTCCGCCCAGACACTCAATTCAAATATGATGAGGATTACCAAAAACCTTATTCATTCTATAAGAAAGTTCTACCAATCCCAAAGGATTGGACACATTGAAAACACAAGAACCTCAATCGAGAGATTTGTTTGTGCTGCAAGGAAATGATCTCTGGCTTTCCCTGACACACACTAAATGCAAATGTATCCGCTAACGATAAGCGGCGACACAAAGGCAAGTTTCCTACAGCTCCCCCAGGGGTTGGTTTGTCTGTCCTTAATGAAGGGAGCAAATGCAACTAGAGTAACAACATTTACACACACACACACACACAACACACACACACACACACACACACACACACACACACACACACACTA